TATGTGTGTGTATATGTCTGTGTGTGTGAGTGTGTGTATATCTATGTGTGTGTATGTCTGTAAGTATGTGTGTGTGTGTCTGTATGTGTGAGTGTGTGTATGTATGTCTGTATATGTGTGTATATATCTGTGTGTGTGAGTGTGTGTATGTATGTCTCTGTGTGTGTGTGTGTATGTCTATGTGTGTGTATGTCTGTAAGTGTCTATGTGTGTGTATGTCTGTGTGTGTGAGTGTGTGTATGTATGTCTCTGTGTGTGTGTGTGTGTATGTCTATGTGTGTGTATGTCTGTAAGTATGTGTGTGTGTGTGTCTGTATGTGTGTGTGTCTATATGTGTGAGTGTGTGTATGTATGTCTGTATATGTGTGTGTATGTGTGTGTGTGTATGTGTATGTATATCTGTATATATGTATGTGTGTTTGTCTGTGTAAGTGTGTGTGTGTGTCTGTATGTGTGTGTGGGGGGGGGCTGAGGACAACTTGCAGAAGTTTGTTATTTCCTTACACTATGTGGGTTCCAGGTACTGAACTCAGGTCATCAATCGAGGCGGCCAGTGCCTTTACCCGCTGATACATCTCACCAGGCTGCATTGGATTTTGAAAGTGTCTTGTTCATTGGTTAAGAAAGGTTCAACAAATTCTGTAATCACACCTTGCTTGTTTTCAAAGAGAAAACTGTGTTTAGCTGTTTGGAGCTACCATTCCAAAGGACCATACAAAAGCAAGAGGAGTCAGGAAGTGTCAAAGTCTCAGAGCCTGACGACCCTGCTTAAAATATCATCCCTAGCAGATCACACACCTCAGAGATAAAGAGGTTCTGAGTGGGGAGTCATCTGTCACCAGGCTTGACTGGGCCAAGCAGCACCCGGCTTTCTGAGAAGAAGCAGGGCTGGCCCCATGGACCCTTGGTTACACGCTCTGGCCAGGTCCTAACCCTGTTCAATACATCCAAGAGGGGCTGCTCTCCTGCCGTAGTAGGCAGGCCTGCTCTTGAGTTTCTCTGACTGTGGCTGCCTCAAGCTTTTAGCCACAGGCTAGACATGGCACCCTGGCTGCTCTGCCCTGTCCTGCCATGAAATACTGGGGCACCCTACAGACAGCACAGGCCCGGGTAGTTCTCACAGATGGAAGCAGCTGTATGAAGTCGGAACAGCAGGCCTTACCCAGGGCTGCTGGAAAGCATGGCCTCAGCTGGTCCGTCCTCCACCCTCAGCCTGCTGCCCAGTGAACCCCCTTCTACCCGCAGTCCCTACTGAGGCAGGCATGAAAGAGAGAAAGTAGCCCCTCTGTGAGCAGATCTCTGCCCACCCCCTGCCTCTTCCTGAGGGCATGGTATTTCCAAGCAGCAATGGACCCTGCTTATGTCTCCTAAATGTTTCAAACCAACTCACTCGCTCATAATTATACCCAGGGGTGACCTGGATGTTTTGAATTTTCCAGAGAGAGGTCTTGACAGAAGGGGTTAGTGGGGGTTCCTTCTCAAGTATCCAAAGAGGAACTGAGATGCCCATGGGTGCTTGTTTGCCCTCGGGCTCATGGTCAGATGGAAGAGACAGGAGGCTGGACATCGGAGGGAAGATTCGGGAGAGCTGGATGGGAGCAGAACCCCTTGGAGTCTTGGGCTCATGTCTCATGCACACATCTCCAGCTCCAAAAAGGCTGTATAGGAGCACATACAAATATAACCTTTGTCTTCTGGCCCGAGGCAAGTGTGAACATGCTGGGTAAAGCTGGTGTGAGGGCGTGTGGCTGGGCTGAGAGGACTCAGCATCTGGGAGCTGAGGAGAACCAGGGGGTGTGCCACTATGGCGTCTAGAGTCTACCTGGGTCACAGCCCCTACAGCATCCAGCAGGGACAAGTACAGCCCTGTGATGATGAGAGAGGTGTGCTTCTCTCTGTCTCCTATGTGCAGCTGACATGTGGGTCTCCCTCAATGACAATCCAGGCTTCCAAGTAGACTCAAGTCCAGGTCCTGACCATTATGAACACAGAGTCTAGGGATCCCGGATTTCCGTTCTTCATGTTGAAGAATTTAGAGCCACCTCTCCTCCATATGTTGGACAGCTCATCACTTCTGGTGACTGTAGCTCCCAGAACTTTCTCTTAAGATACTGGGATCTTCTTCTGCTCTTCTGCCTCTTTCGGATACTGGAGCTGAGGTCCTGCATCTTACACCGTGGATGAGCAAGGCCTATGCTTCCCTAACTTGATGCGTTTCCCTCACTGGGGGTCCTGCATAGTACAGCACCATTTCTGCAATGCAGATGTTTGGTCATGGGCTTCTTCCCTTCAGGGTCTATGCTGTTCCGGCAGTGCTATGTACATGCGGTTACACACATGGCTGTATGTTTAGGTATGTACATATACTGTGTATGCGCCCGTGGGTATGCGGTGTTCCAAACTGCCTACATGTTTATGTAGACACTCCTGGGAGGGAGAAGAGAATCTGAGAAACACTACTGACATTTTCAGGGTTTCCTTCTCAAGGTGAAACCTGTCCTCGGGGATCTTTTTATTAGTAGTATCTCCAGGAAGTTTTATTCAGCCACGGAGAGGGTCAAAGTGCTACTCTGCAGAGACAATTGTCTCCTTGGGATGGCCAGGAAATGGAGTGTTTGATTATATGTAGGCTGTGGCCATCTGGGAAAAAGAGAAGGTGAGAGGGAGGGACAGGGAGAGAAAGGGACAGGTGTGTGTGTGTGTGTGTGTGTGTGTGTGTGTGTGTGTGTGTGTGTACATACCCCAGTTTTGGGGAGAATAACAATTAGCCTGAAATCTAATTTTCCTTTCAGGAAGTCATTTTATGTAACTGGTGAATATTTGCTATGAGTCTGCCCGTTCTAGAGCAGAGTGGGGAGAGGGCTCTGTTCTCCCCATAGTGGAGGGGTCCCACTGTGAGGTTTGGGGTTTAGGGGTGGGAACTGCCCCAGGTTTGGGGAGGTTGTGGTTCTGGACCCTCCAGAGGTGGCTTTTGCCTAAATTTCCAGTTCCTTCTGAACACGGGGCTATTTATTGTCCTGCATGGAAATAAGACAGGGGGAATTCACCCTGAAAGGCCACATAGAAGAGAGACAGCCAGTAGTAAAGAGACTTAGGTAAGTCTGATCTGATGCTAGTCAGGCAATGCAGGCAAGTGTGTGAGCACAGGGCACAGGCCACAGGGCTGGGAAAGGCTGGGGATGCAGTGGCTTTGAATCACAAGGATGCATGGAGTTCAGGGTGTCAATCACTCTAACCTGGAGCATTCGTGCCCATGGTCTGAAATGAAAGGAGATTTCCCTGCAAGGCAATCACTTCTCTTAAGCCCTACATGGTAGTTTAAGTAAACTTCCCTGGAATGATTTAGGAAAAAAAAAAAAAAAAAAAAAAAAAAGGGTTTGAAGGCTAGCTTTTCTCTGAGAGGACTATACTTTGTGTGTTTTCTAAAAAGCTCACCCCACAAAGACTCACGCCTCACTGTTCCATTCCAGCTAAGTTCTAGCATCTGTTTCCCAGGTAACAAAATCCATATTCCCACTACTCTACCAGCCTCTCAGGGAAGGAAGCCTGTCCCTGCTTGCAGATACCTGCCTGATGCTTTCCAGGGCTCAGTGCTCTACAGACCGGAGCTTGGGAGCGGGCTGGGGCAAGCTCTGCCCACCTTAAATCCAGTTTTCTGTCACCCTCCCTCTTCCTAGAAGCAGGAAGTCTTTCTTCTATGTTCCCCTTTAATGTCACTGTTATTATTTCCGTGCTCCAAGTTCCTCAGTCAGGAAGTTGTCCCTTTTCCTTCTCTCAAAATTTTTGGTTCTCACCAAAGGTCATGGAAGTCTTGGCGGCATAGTCCCTCCCTGGAACCAGCCAGTGTCTGATGGATCCGTTGCTAGGCCCAAACCATGCCCAAGAGCTGAGGAGACAGCTCTGGAGGGGCGCTGTGAGGCAGCATGCGGGGCTAGGGGTCTCCCTGCAGTTTCCTTGTTGACTTTTAAAATGCAAAACATTTCTCTAGAGTCAAGAGCCTTGAACCACTTTAGACAGCTTGCACAGGAGACACAGAATGGAGCCTTTGTTACACGGCCTTCACAAACGGTTTTTAAAGTAAATGGACCCTTTTTCCCCCCCTAACAAAATCTCACATGTAGCCCTAAGACACAGGCAGGATAAGCTGCTTTGCTGGGATTGCTGGGAGCTGGTCCGCAGAGGAACACAAGCTCTGAGAACACGGGGCTTTGCTGGGGGGTCAAACTTGAAGCTACGATGAAATGGACAAGCTGTCCATTTCAAGTGCCTAGTGGATTGGAAAGAAACTGAGCATCCTCTCCTGATGGGCTTGCAGGTCTGGAACCCAGCCCTGTGAGCAGCGAGTGAGCAGTGAGCAGGAAGCCATGGCGCTGAAGGAGCTTCCTGTTCTGAAAAGTTGAGCTCAGGCCTGGAGGTTCCCCAGCCTCTGGGGGCACTAAGGCAGGAGTCAGGATGGTCAGCTTAGTTTGCTCCTAGAGAGGAGCCATGCCAATGCAAGTCCACGTCCTTGGCAGTGGTCCTGCCATGATTATGACTTGTGGGCTTAGGGCATTTTTCCTGGATTAGGAAGCATCTCTGTGCTGTTAGACTGGCCAGTGTGGATCCTTCTGGAAACCTTGTTTGACCAGGGCTGTCTGGTTTCAGTGTGTCTTGGCATTTGTTGGGAATATGGATCCTGTGAGGTTGCATTTCTGTCTGTTCCAGCTGGCCCATTAAAACCATGGCTCTCGGTTCTCCAATACCATCAACCTCAGACAAGTTCTTCTGACCTTTGCTCTGTGGTATCTGCTCCTATGGTGTACTCTGGAGCAGCCAAGTTCTTCAGGTAGCCCATGCTGGGCAGGTGTCAAATGACCCCCCCCCCCCCGTGGCAGGACAGAACTTAGCAGCTGACCTATGATCTTATCAGAGACTCAACTGACCTGCACCTCAACAACCACCCACCTGGGAGCTCTGTCTCCAAGGACAGTTCGCAAGGGCAGTGATCATCCTAGACCTACCTGCTCGTTGATCTGACACATGGTGAGGTTTTGGTCATCACAGGAACACGCTACACGGATGTATTTGAGCCAGCTGCCAGCCCCGGCCTGATTGGCATCCACGCAGAACTTCTCGCTGCCCAAGTCTTCAGAGATCTGCTGGGGAAGAAGTGCATTAAGGTCAGAGGTGCTCTGTGTGCTATATCACACTGCACTGGCATCAGAGGCTCAGGCAGGATGGCAGGTCGCCTGAGACCTTCAGCCAGTATTGCGAACTAGAGCGGCCCTGTCCACCTAGCCCACCTGGTCCTGAGGGGCCACCAGGAGACTGGTGAAGAAGGTAGCCTTTCCCACTCTTACACAGAGGCTCACAGTCAGGCCAGGCAATGACTCCAGCATGGTAAAGCCCTTCCAGCAAGCTGTCCAGGTGTGAGGAAGCAGAGCCTTCTGTGTCTGACACAAGCCCTCTGCTAAGGACAGTGGTGGGTGCTGAGCTAGAGAAAACACTTCCGAAGGTAGAGGTGTTACCAGGGTGTGCAGTTGCACCTGAGTCTGGGTGTGCGTGTCCAAGTGTGCATGTATGCATGTGCCGATGTGCACATGTGTGCCTGTGTAGACACGCTCCTGTCAGACAGCGTATCACCCGAATGCCAGGAAAGCATTTTGTTTCCTTAAAATCAGAAAGTCTCGGTTCGATGGTGCTGGCCTGCATGCGTACATCATGCTTCCTTGCCACGTCCTGCTCAACAGGCGGGGGCCTGGCACGGGCTCTGCTTTGTTGTTGCTGCTGTCTTCTGAACTCTCTTCAGAGAGTGTGTCCCCCACCCTGAGGGTTGCTCGCAAGAAGACCTGGGCCACGGGCTGGCGGCTGCAGATGCCACAGAGCTTTCCAGCTCACGACTGCTCCGCTCGGTGCGCATGGCAAGCCCTCACTCAAAGCCTTTGAAGCCAGCAGCAGCCCAGGTGGCACACAACAGGCAGGGTGGGTGGCTGAAGGGAGGTTGGTGAGCAGGAGTGCCCTGGGCCAGGCATTTCCAGATGGGAAGGAAGGGGTGACCAGACAGACAGGAGGACCCATGCAGGCAGGAGTGATGGGTGTCCGAAGGGCCCAGTGAGGGTGCAGCAGGAAGAGCTGGGTTTGGGTGGACGCTTGGCCACTTCGCACACACTTTTCAAGACCCTTGTACACCTGTGGCTGACACTGGACTTCTTTTGAAAAGTTCGGTGCCGGCACAAAACAATGAAGCCGTACGCCCTGCCTCTGTCCCCATGCCCTTGTCCCCAAGGACCCTGACACAAAGTCAGACCATGAACACACAGGTAAGAAGTGGGGTTTTCTCCCCTCTCCTCTGGGGCTCAGGGCAGGGGTGCCCAGCGAGACCTTCCCAGGTGACTGAGCCCAGCAGCGGCTGGTTCACCTTGGCCCTGTCACTCAGGGGTTAGATGAAGCTCTCCCTGCTCCTTGCACACCCTTAGAGGTCACTACCTGCCATGCTCCAGCCCAACCGCACCACTGGGTGGCCCCCACAGCCGGGAGAGGGTGGAGGCAGAGCGAATAACAGCCACACACTGAGGCCGCAAGGGCTGAAGGTCAGGAAGGCAGGTCTCCCATTTCATCTTCTAAGAAGTGGGCTCAGGCTACTAAGCTCACATAGGGAGCATTCAGACATGTCTTACTCTCTTCCCAACTGATGACTCTGCAGGAAACTGTTGAGGGGGTCAGCCCACAGGTTACGGGACCGCTACCTGATAAGGCAGCTCACTCTCCTCCTGAGACACATGGATTGAGAAGGTCTAGCCGCTGAGAGGCCAGTGGACCCCTTCCTCCCTGCCAGAGGGGTTGGGGACTTCCTGTGGATCCCCACCACACAGACCTCTAGGCAGATGGTGCTGAATCTCAGGCCCCATCTCTGGTTCCCTGTCCCTCACTCTGTGTGTATCTTTCTTAATGTTCTGTCTTTCTGTGTTTTCCTTTATGGTTCAGGGCCTGGGGGAGTTAGCAAACAGTGCTGTGAGTGGGCGTGTCTTCATACAGGGTTCTGTCCCCAGGGCTTTCCTGGGCTTTGGCTGTTGATTTCTCAGAGTTGAGGCCCATTTCTCCAAGAACAATCTTTACTAATTAGCTTGTGGCAACTCTGTTAAAATCCCTGGGAACTTGTTGAGATCCAGCTAGTCATATGGATACATATGTGTGCATGCAAAGTGTGTACATGTGTGCACATGCTTGTGGCTATACATAGGTGACTATGTACCCCTGTGGGTATGTGTGAGTAAACATGCACTTATTTATATATATGCATGTGCATACGTGTACACACAAGAATCTTTACTCATGTGTGCATACATGTGTGTGCATGCATGCATTCAGGGGTCATAGTTGTGGGTCAGTTGGTATATTTTTGAAAAAGACAAATTCACTCCTATGAGGTGACCTAGGTAACTATTGTGGCTCCAGTCTGTGACCCTGTGCGGGCTCTGTCTCTCAGGAGCAATGTGCACACCTGGGGAGGGGCGGCATCCTCTAAGGTCTGGAATCCACCAAGCAGTCCTGTGTCCTTACAGGTCCTTGGTGTTGTTGCCTCTGAAGCAGGGTTTGACATACTCGCAGAGATGGAGCCTAAGCGCCACTTTCTAGCTGAGGGGACCTCAGATGGCGCACTGGGGCTCTGACCGATATAGGCTGGGCTCTGGGGTTTGCCAGGATGCTGAGAGGAAGACCTGGGTGTCAGAGCATCAAGTCCACAGCCACAGGCAGCTGAGCACATGTCCCTGGCTGCGCTGGGGGTAGCAGGTGCCAAGGACCCGATGCCAGAGGCAACAGCATTGGCCCAGCCTTCCTGATCCGGAGACTGACCTCTGCTTACACCTACGTTCTGGCAGGAGCTGTGTAGCTTTGATAGTTCCGAGGATGCCTGAGAGCTCACAGGGGACAAGAGAGTGAAGGCTCACATCTTAGGTTCTGTTCACATGTGAGGCATGAACAGTCATGATGATCAAGGGTAGCTCTGTTCTTTTGGCTGCTCTTGCTTTGGCAATGGAGCTGAACCTCCATCCAGATTTGGAGTTTGGGCTCTACCCACTTGAAATCCTGGCTCTGCAGTTGTTGGGGTTGAGCCTGTGGACTTCCATAATTGCTGATGGAAGTGGCCCTTCTGCCCGTTTGCCCCCACTTGGCCTCTCAACCCCCGTGTTCCTGCCAGCTTCCACAGCTCATCAATCACCCCCATCAGAAATGCTGAGTTAAGAAACGGAGATAGGAAAAAAAATCCTCTTACCCTTGACAATTTTTTTTGCACATCATTTGAGGTTTCCTGCACTTTTAATTTGTGGCTCTCTGCTGGGCTAACTCTTTCACATTTAATGGGCACAGCCAGGGGCTGGCTCCATCTGGGATGTGCACACAGACGGGAATACAGAGGCGTCTGTCGTCAGCTCACCTAATGGATTCCCAGCCTGCAGGACGGAGTGAGGCCTTAGGGGTCACCTTGTTGACCTGTGCCCTGTGGCTGCAGCACGCTCCCTAGAAGTCCACTCTGTGATAGGCATCTGCAGGACTGGTGTACGTGTCCCATTACCCTCCCCCACACCTGCACGCACACACTAACATGAACACACATGCACTCACAGATGCACAGAAGCACATGTGTGAGCACACACACACAATGGTTATGATTTACGACATTCACAAGCAGCCGAAACAGAAAGTCCATTCTTGGGATGGAAAGAGGAGGGTAGGCCTTCTGGAGACACCTCGGTGTGGCGGACATGGAGCCCGAATGAGCTCATAAATCTGGACCTGACGCTCATTATGGGCTTGGTGGTGACATGACCAAGTGCTAAGCAGAAACGCGGCGGCAGGATGGGGTCTACTGCTGCCAGCAGACAGGAGCCTGGCTGCGGAGACCAGGGAGGAGGTCAGGGGCCCATCTGTTCAAGCTGAGCGGGAAGGAATCGAGGAACAGAAGGGACAGAGTGGTGGAGTGTGTTTTCTGGGACTCATTCCTGGAAGAAGTTGTCTGTCTGGGATTTTCTGTCCCCCTCTGACCTTGGTCTCCACTGGACAGTTGCCAGGGTAGTGGTGCATAACAGAGGCAAGGGATAGAGTTACAGGGTCTTGGACAGACCCCAGAGCATGGCTCAGGGTTTGGATGCCGCAAAAAGAGGGTTGCTGCCTGGCCAGGGACTCTGCTGACAGGTGTCAGTGATGTCCCAATTCCACACCTGGAGAACTTGGCTCCTGTGTCAGTCACAGGCAGATCCCCTTGTCTCAAAGCCACACCAAGAAATGCATGTCATTAAAGAGTCACTGAATTCCACATTTTGTAGCATCTGGGCCCCACACAGGCCTTTGAAGATCTGAGGGAAGCCACACACCAGAAGTCACTCAGACATCCAAGTGCCTTGTGAACACACCGAGCTTCCCGGAATTCTTGCACCCAATCCTCAGACTCTGAGACTCTAGGTTGTGAGAACATCCGAGACTCACAGGATGACCTCTCCCATGTCCTCAGCCACGCTGCACAGTAGAGCCCCAGGGCACGTGCCTCGTGCATGCAGCCTGTACTGTCCTCGGCTGTGTTTCTGTGCCTCCCAACCTTTCTATGCTGTGCTAACTTTACCTCCCCCTTTCCTTCTGTATTTTATTGGCCCAGGCTCTACCTGGCAGGCGATGACCCTCTGGGATGGAAAAGGACTTGGGTGTGACTCTACGCTTTGCCTAAGTGACTTGAAGCCTCTAGGGGACTCGTACACCTGAATCTCAGATAGACGGCAGAAGAGCCAAGGAGTCTTGGAAGCCTGGAGTTGCATGGGCTCTTCCTTGATGCCTGCTGCAGAAGCTGGGTGACAAGCCTTTCCTGTGATCTTACTGCAAAGCCACCAAGGATGCCCTTCAATGGCCCTTGCGCCATCCCCACAGTGCATGCAGTGGCCTGAGTGGGGTGTTTGAGGTGGGTCACATGGCCCGACCATCTTGGCATCTGTGGCTTGTCTCATCGGTCATGGGCTGCAAGCCTGAGCCACAAGAGATAAAAGGTCAACTTGGTGATTCATGCTAGCATTCTGTGCCTTCCACTGAGTGCAAGGATGAGACACGGAAGGGCAGTAGCGAAGCATCTTAGGTGATTAGCAACAACCAGAGGGAGAGGGGCCTGCTG